ATTTACATAGACACATACATACATATACTGTATACATATATATACATATACACATACATACACACACACACACATACATTGTGTTTTTCATCAATTCACGTTCGTTTGGGTCCATTATCAAGGACTTTAGTTCGAAAGATCTGCCTATTTGTCTACTTAGGATTTACAAAAAGATATCCTTACGCTTAATCAAAGCTGAACTGGATCATAATTTCTTACATAATATACACTGTCACAATGCGGGCTCCTGACAGGCCAAGGGGACCCTCACCCAGCACTTTACTAAGGGGTCCCTCCTACTACGACCCAGCATTTTACTATGGAGCTTTGACCAGCTATGTAACCCCTGTGTAGTTTGGGGAAACACCCAACCAAAATCCAAGTGAGCCAATGAGAGGCCACGGGGCCCCCTCTTACTACAATCTAATACGACGTTTTTGAAATTACGGTACATTTTCTTTTAATTAAAAACAAAATGATTAGGCCCTGGCCGACTGCAGCACAATACATGATTACACACCATAGTAGGCTTATACATGTAAAGAGACATGCTAAAATCGATTAAAACAATGTAAAATTGAATATATATATGCCTACTAATAAATCGAATATTCAGATGGAAGAGGCCTACAGCACCAACGATTGGACCATAAAGAACGATGGTCATTCTATTTAGATTGGCATCATTATTTCAGAGTAACATTAATTCGTGGTATCGAAGTGATACTTTATTAAAACAATCAATTTATATTGGTATTTTCAAGACCCGAATAGTCACACGATATTTTTTGGCATTGTCTACTGACGAAGTTATAGAAGTACCGTAAGTTTTTCCCCAACCATGATGGGGGAGGTGGGGTGGGGGCTGAGGCTCTCCGTCTCCTCCTTTCCCCCCTCCCCTATATATGTATGGGTCAATTCCTGGATCTGCCACTAAGGTCCTTTAAAAAATTATTAATTTATCACCCCCTCCCTCATCACTTTTGGGGATTTTTTTAAATTTTTTTATCAACATATATTTTTATTTCAAACGGTCGTTTTTCCATCTTTTTTTTTCACTTGAAAAGCTCAGGATTTCTTGAAAATAATGTTTACTGGTACAACAAAAACATATTTTTAAAATATAAATTTTTGATTCCATTCTTATGACATTTTATATGTGTCTCTAACACTTGATTTACTTGTGAACATCGGTAAAATGGGGGCGGGGTTAGCAAAAAAACAAAAAAACAAAAACAAAACAAAAACAAAAAACTTTCCTCCCTCATTAGTTTTTATTCTTTGATAGGGTGATAAACTAATATTTTTTTTTATTTATGGGGCCTAAGCGACAAGACAAGTAAAATATAATTGCTAGAGTACCTATCTGCATTTTTTTATAACCTATTTATTTAATTTTAACAGAAAATGAAAATTGTATATGAGAAAATATGGAGTTTTCGCAGCCTTACATTATTGTTATCGGAACCTAAAACATTCTTGACAATATGCCGTAGGATATGAATATGATCGTTGATTAATGCAAAAGGCATGAATCGCTACGTTATGACAGATACTGTAGTGGGGAACGTAACCTTATTTGTTATTGTTTCCGTAGGCTTGCGAAAACTCTCTAATAATACTTATACAAGTTGTAATTTGTTGCTTCGTGAATATATCGTTTTACAAGTGATCATTAAAAATCCGTACTGTTTTGCTCGTTTAAAACCCAAACAATAGCCTGGCAATATATTTTGGGTAAATTTACTGATTAATGCGATGTTATACCTTTTTTAATCTCGATATATTGAATAGAAGCAATAATAACATGACAATGACAATTGTCCATAAATTACTAAGCTCATGATCTAATGTGATGAACATCAGATATGATTCTCTAATGATCAAAAGCAATATACCATTAAAGAGACCAAATATTATTAGATAAAATTTCCCATATTCCTTATTGATCTATCTCCCATTTTAATCATTTTGCCAGATATTAAGAAAAGGTGTTTGTATTTAAACGAATAGTTATTATTAGGCATACAGACAGAGGCATTTCTCGATTTTTTGGGTAAACGGGAGAAGTATGGAAGCTTCGACGTCAATAATACCGGTCAAGTCAGAATCGCTGCTTGTTAAAAGTCGTGAATTTGGGTCTAATACATCTTCGCATGGAATACCGCGAATCGTAGGCGCTGCCTCGTGCTTCGGACGCCTAGTCTGGAGCTGTCTGTACTTCACTTGCCTTGCTGTGTGCCTATGGCAAGCCTACCGACTTGTTCAAACTTATTTGAACTTTGAAGTGACAATATTAGTAAGTACCGTACCAATTTATTAAAAGTCTTATATATTTCCTGTTTATTACATAATACCGTCTTTTCATTATTAATCATAACCTGTATATTGCTATAATTATATTTTTTTTTATTAAATGTTTTCTTAGTACAACGTTAAAAACGCTGAAGGTAGAGAAGTCGACTTCCCCGCGGTTACTTTCTGCAACACGAATCCTGTGCGTCGGTCAATGTTGGCGACGGTCCCAAAGTACATGGTTTTGTCAACTATTGATAATTACACGAATGGTCTTCAGTACTATGGTAACGTGTGGTTGATCTCGCTTTTGCGTTTGTTACGCGCAAATTTTCTGGTTCCCACTGGGAATGCGTTTTCCAGTTTGTACCAAGAACGCGTCTAAAAACTTACGTTAACGAGTCAGTCAGGTTTTACCAAGCTTGGCATAAATTAAAAAATATGACTCGTTTAATAAGTCACAGCTCTCAAAAAAGTCACTTTCACAAATCTATGAATCATAATTGTTTTTGTTTCCATAATATTCTGTAACATCAATATATTCCTCAGATTGACGATCGACAAATCCAGTGCCGTTCGTGGACGCTCCATAATACTCCAGACGCCAGTGGACAAATCTTCCTGATATATTAGCTTATTTTTTTTCAACAGCTCCATGCAAGAAGGGAGATTTTAATTGCACGAATGGGAGGTGTGTCAAAAGCTTCAGAAAATGCAATGGTATCAATGATTGTGGAGATAAGTCGGACGAATCCTCATGTACACATGGTACGTAAGAATGCTGCCACCAAAATGGTATATAGGCCTACTGTAATACACAATAAGTCACGTACTGATGGGCATGGTTAACGTACATTACAATGAATAATATTAGGCCTAATCGATTGTGTCTTGAGGTGAGGCACTTTATCCACATTGTCTTCCTCCACCCAGGACTTGAGTATTTGCAGGGAGCAGTTAAATTGTAATTGTACTGTTCCCTGGTATTTGGATACCCATGAGGTTCGAGTGCACATTGTACTGATTATTTCATGCAGCAAAACTGAGGAAATTTCACGTCACCATAGCGTCGTTGCAATGACTGTGGTAATATATTTATTTATAATTTCAATATATCTCTTTGTTAGCACCATGTGGATCCGGTTTTTTTACGTGTACGTCTGGGAGTGATTCGGGTTATTGTATCCCTGAAATCAAGAAGTGTAACAGGGAAAGGGACTGCTATGAAGGAGAGGACGAAAATAAATGCAAATCAACCGACAGTAAGTACTTGCTTAACTTTGATTAAAAGTATTTAATGCACTGAAGTGCTGGACACACACTATTACTCTACCGGATAATGCATCTATTAACATTACAGATTAATAAAAGAATACAAAATGAAAACACAAGTACCAACAGGAAACAAAACAAAAATACAATTGGGACGTTCAGCTAAACGGACAACTGAACATCCCTTACAACTATCCTGTCGTAACGGCTGTTTTCCACTAGGGGAAATTATTTGCGCGAATCGAAAGCGTCTGTTCGCTTCCTGAGCTCTGATTGAACGCGCATTTGTTTCGCCTCACAAAAAGTAGAAACAATTCGAACAACAGATTTCGTTGAAGCGAAAACTCCAATAGAAATGTAAATGCGCATGCGCATGAACGACACTTTCGATTCACTCGAATAAATTCGCCTAGTGGAAAACCTGCTTTACAAAAACAGATCAATGGAAAGATTAAAAAATATGTATGATTTAGTCCTAATAATTATGAGCATCAAGCTTTATTATAAAAATAAGCTGCTATTCAAACCCTAAATTACATAAAATGATCTATTGCAGTCAAGTGCACTGAAGACGAGTTTAAATGTAAGAAAGGCGTTATGGAAGAGTATACATCAGAATTTGAAAACAAGTACGGGACAAAGTTTTGCATACCGGCCGAACACCAATGCGATGGTACCAATCACTGCGAAGACCGGGCTGACGAACTTAACTGCCCGGGTATGTCCCCCTCCTCTATAAATTTGACATAGCCTATGACATTATTATTATTATTATTATTATTATTATTATTATTATTATTATTATTATTATTATTATTATTATTATTATTATTAGGACTATTATTATTAAGCCTATTATTATTATTATTATATTATTATTATTATTATTATTATTTTTATTATCATTATTAGGCCTATTATTATTATTATTATTATTATTATTAGC